GCCGAAAGCATGTTCTTCAACCCGTCCTAGTTCTTATCCTAAATTGGAATATTCGAAAACAGTAAGCATAAAACTGGTAATCTCAATGCGTACAAATATTTCGTTGATCAGGCACTACAATTTCTAGCACGCTTCTCCGAAGTGGTTAGGCATCATTGAATTCCAGACCACCAAAACTCACTCTATAAAGTACAAGTCCCCAAAGTACTTTCTGGCCTCACAATCCACCAAACAGAACGATCCGAATTTTCAGTTAAGAGGATAATTCGCCCCAACCAGAGGTGGTGTGTTGCAGGACAAAAGTACTTTGAACGAGCATTTCGCGCTGTTGGGCCACTTAGGAAGAAGTTCAAAATTGTGACACTCGAACAGCCCCCTCAGCAACAAGAATTTCAAACTATCTGTATAACAGAAAAGTGTGAATCAGAATGACGACATCCAAAATCCACTCAACACGATGAACGCAGAAAATATACGGACGTTATGGATTCTGAAGGATTGCTATGCCCCTACGGACATCCGACTTGGCAACAACCAACCGAAACTGCTCCACCGGGTGATACCGGAATTCTTCAGTTGACTACGGATTGTTTCAAGAATAGAGGCCGACGGCTCTCAAATGTGCAATAGCATAAAATTCCACCTCCTGTAGAAGATCTCGTTTGTCCACGACATAAATTTAGCGCTTAAATTTGACACTCGCCAGCGAAAATGACTTTCAATTTGAGGGTTTCTGGTGTCTGTGTTCCACAGTCGATCAACCAGACCTAGAATAGCAACCCTAACTTGAAAAGTCAAACAATTTCAGCGCCCAAAACACACCGGAAGTATCATTCACAGACAAATTTGGTTTCAACAGGAGGTTCAACTGAATCCAACTAAATCACCAACAACACATTCAGTTAAGCTCTCTGTCCAATTAGTATTGAGGTAGACGGGAACTCGGGGAATGTGCCACTTGTTGATCCCCAAGAAGGGCGAAGCTGACCGTGGGCTGTCAGGGAAATATTAGCAACCTCATGGGCAATGTGTTAGGCCTGAGCAAGGAATGAAGTACATTTTTTCTAGCTTGTTTAAGATCAGAGTATCATCATTCTGGCTAACATCTGGAGGGTGTACCATGAACGACATGCGAAGGAAATATAGGTATGAACCGTGAACAATTGTTGGACTATGAAAAAGAACATACCAATAGCGAGTCTTATGTGACGTTTGTTGTCTTGCGTTGAATCATGCCGTGCGGTCAGCACGGAAATTCCGAGGAAAAAGAAATACAAAGTCCAACATCTATTTGATGGCATTCCAACCCAGCTTGCTCGACAGAGACTTGGATGCGGATGGTATTCATTGTGTACACATATATATTCAACCCGTACATTGAATTGTTTTTCGTTTCGTTGTGGTACCCGAACGACAAAGTAATCAGGCTTTTAACTCCGGGCTGTCTGGGTACGTGCATTACTGCTGTAAACTAAACGCCCCTTGCTTGCTCTTAGCAGAGTTTTCTTTCACTCTCTCTCCTGCCCAAACCACTAGGAATTGAGTTGTCTCATCAGTGTATGTTTGAACTCGGAAAAACAAAAACACATTGGGCGGAACACTCATTTGCGAATTGCGGTGATTTCAGCGGGCAACGGAACCCTGTTTTTGGCGTGTGTTTTCAACTGAATATGTTGCGAAAAGGTTTCTCTATGTTGCAACTCACACGAAATTCGAGAAGTCGTAGTATATACACTTTACATAACAAAATACTGACAAGGTTGCTGAAAAATCTTCGGAAGTTCACCAAATGTTTCGGTCTTCTTGGGGCCCATCAGGTAGGCTTGCTTCCATCAAATTTAAGCAGTAAAATTGGACACAAGCGGCGTTAGATAGATATTAATACGAAGCTCAGCACTTAACCAAAACTCAGGCTCTGTTCTGAAAGAATTATCTATTGTTTTCACAAAGGAAACGGCAAATTTGCAAATGAGTGTATTTGGCGGTATCCTTTGCTTTGGTATCAAACAGTCTGTTCTCATACTAAACACGTACCTAATTTGGACTCGGTGTTGACTCTATACGGCACCAAACTTTCAGTTGTTGGGGAACCTGGTGATTCACTATATGGACTTGGTGTGGTCGCATCAGTTCGGAAGCGGTTTCCTGAGCGTATTGATCACTCTCGCTAACAGAGGAAAATTGCAGTCAAACTGGAAAGGAAGACTTCTCTAGAATTTTCGCGAATGAAAAAAATCCACACCGCCGACACTTTATCCTTCACTCAGGTGAGACTGCCCAAGTGGTTAGGACGCGAATTAAATGACCGGAAGTTCCGTGGTTCGAACCCGACCTCTGCCTCTCGACTTATCCTCTCTAGGCTTGGGCAACCTGGCAATATCCCAGCCCTCGTGCAACCTTCAGGTGGCATGACAGTTAGGCACCGAAAGGGTGCTACAACTGAACGAACAATTGCTGGCTATCCTCGAATCTCCAAAAGTCATCCGGGCCCATGTGTTCAGTTGCCACCATCCTTGGTCTACCATGTTTTTCGGGTACAGTTTTTGCACAAATTACGAACCAACGTTATCTTTTCCCACATCGATGCGCTGTCGTGTTCGACATCTTAACGAAAAGTCAACAACAAGTCAACAACACAATTTCAGCCGATAGCGAAACCCCAAAAAATTTCTCTGAATCTATTCAGCACTGCTGACTCAATTTCTGGAAAGGCCCACGAATAACCATCTGCTACATGAGGTTATTTTGTATCTCCGAAATGGGTGGCGGATGTAACTAAATGGTGAAAATCAACGGTCGTTTATTTGCAAAGATACTTTGATAATCGTGACTGCCTGTTGTTGAAAGACCGATTAGTCTCACCAAACGTCAAATTGGTTTCTCGAAAGTCATCCTACTGGCTATCCATTGATGTGATCTTTAAAGAACTTGTTCGCTAATGAATGCAGGTTCTAATGGCAGCCAAATCGCCGGTGAACTCTTGACTGTTTTCTTGGCCGCAGTATGGGAGACCACGTGATCTAGAGCACTTGGACCTGACTGGTGCAGTACGAAGTTGCTCAGACTCTCACTTATTGTTAGCTGAGCCTCTAGCGCCATAATGATACCCACCCCTCGTGACCTGTCTGCGGAGTTATGAGTTCCCGAGCTTCTGGCGACAAATAATGAAGCTAGTTTTACAGCACATGAGTTCAATCAGTTTCCTCGCTTTTCAGTGAATTGACTGGCTAGCCCTACTAGCTGCAACCCAAAAGTCAACCTGAAGGTTTTTTTGATGCCCTTAAATAGGAGTTAATAAAGTTGGGAAGCCGAGATAAAATCACACAATACTTGCAGACGCTCTTGCGGTTAAATCTAACCATATCAGGGTAACTAATTGCCCACTATACAGTCGCTAACAGAGACTTCTCCAGGTAGACACGAGCGACTGCCTCTGGATGCAGTGTTGTCCGATAAATGTAGTTAGCACTAACGTTTTGGCGATAATAAAGAAAAGGATTTGCTTGATCAGGCATGCTCAGCTGCTTTGCGTTGTCATTGCTCGATCCAGTCGGCGTGTGCCTGAGATAGCCGGCTAGTAGACATATCTGATTCATGGTTTCAGCTAATACGGTTCGACCGGTGTGATTGCAGAGACGTCCTGGTTTCGGTCCCTCTCGTCTCCCTACTCACATCCGAGTGTCCCGTACGTATCAGACTCAGGAAACATCAACGCACCGTCCCGGTGGTTTGCTTTATTTGCTGAGTAGCAATCCGTGGACCGTGTGTAATAGAGGCGCGAACGGACTTCCTGTCCTTGAGGTTATAAGTCCTCGAATTGAAGCTGAACTAATGTAGTAACATACAGTAACCACAGGTGCTTCATTCATATTACCGCTTATCTGGTATTATAGCGGGGATTGAATCCTGGCCAGTAACCTTGCCAAACTGATGTGTGCATTTTGCACCATTACCTGTTATTTTCCTCTACATAATTGCGTCGTAGATATCGGCGCTTCTGACATTAACACTGTGGGACCATTAATAGGGTTTTATATCCGATCTCATGCGTTCCAAATATCTTTGTGTCTTAGAAGGACTTGAACTACGGACGGCTCGTGAGTTCGTTTTCCCCATCAGGTATAATGTACACCTGGTAATTGATGATACAATCGATTTGGAACGCGTCGTGCTGGCGGATCAGTTTTTGTCCGGGGCTCTTGACTTCCGGGTATGCGTCTCCGCGATCCTCCGTGCAGGTGTTGGGCGTTAGATTTGCTAACACTAGTGACATCTGTTCGTCAGGTCGTCCTTACCACAACCAAATAACCGCCAGAGATAAAGTTTCGCATTCTCTTAATAACCGATGAACGCACGCACACACACGGACCCGGATACTATCGTACTTTTGTTAAGCTGGCGGTCGTTCACGTAAAACAAGTCCTGGTATGACTACCGACAAAGTGGGACGTGAGTAGTGTTCACCTGGTGGTCCATTTCCAAAGTTTGCTGCAAAAATACAGTACTGTAGCAGCTCATTACATACGAGAAATTATTCACCCGCAGTTTCACGAAATGGGGCAGGTAAGGTAGGATGTTAAGCGTTGTAGTTCACTTTTAAAGGGAAAACCAGATTTACGGGACAGTTTAGTGTGCATTGTCCAGTCCAACGGACATTCAACTCACGGGAAATTCAAAAGATGCCTTTTACAGAGAATGACTGGGTCAGCGGTTGTTGAGCAGCCGCGTAATCCGGTGTTAACCGGTTGCTAGAACGACGTCGTTGCGGGCAGGAAGTTCATCTTTCTTTTCTGGTCATGTCATTTACAGTTTGCGGAGTTTAAAGAAGATGGTAATCGAACGCGAGTAGGGTTCAATAAAGCGTGAGTAGAAGATGAATATCCTCAGTTACGCTGGATACCGGCAACACGATAGAAACTCACGCATCAGGAGAGGAGGAAATACCACCCCCTAGCCACATGTGATAGAATAGCCAGTCTGATTATGAAAGTAAGGTTTATGCACAAGTGTAAATTAGCAAGACAAAATAGACAGAGTAGGAGCGGTGAGCATATGTACACGAAGAATTTGAAAGGGAGCAGTTGGGATCATCGAACACAGTTTACAAGGTGGTTGTGGCATCCACCGCTGAGGACTGAAAAAAAACATAAATATGGACGATCAGTGAGCGCGGATGAAATAAACGGTTAGCAAAACCGAAGCAAAAAAACATACCTCGTGAACAAGAACGGTGATGAATCGGCGATGGACTGCATTTAAGAACCGTATTTGATGCTCAACAACTCTTCCACCGAAGCTCGATCCTTGTAATCTCGGACAAGAGAGCGCTGCAAAGCCTGTCAAAACATGGTAACACAAGGTGCAGAAGTCCGAGAGGGAGAGAAAACTGCTGGAAACTAGAAGGATATGCCTAAATGACAGTATTCCTATCTCGATGACAGTGATAAGGCAAATCGACGGAGATTGGAAGGTGTTACGGGAACTGCAGCGGAGAGACCGTACACTATTTGCCAAAAAGGGCGAGATGGCTCAAGTGGTTAGAGTGCGAATTTACTGACCGGAAGGTCCGTGGTTCGAACCCGACCTCCGCCACTCGACTTCCCCTGTCTAGGCTTGGGCAACCTGACAGTATCGTAGCCCTCGTGCTTCATTCGGGTGGCATGGCAGCTAGGCACCGAAAGGGCGCTACAGCTGAACGAAAAAGGCCGTTCATTATTGGTGAGCGAAGAAAAACAATTAGCACAACATTAACAATGTGCGACTGTTCACTGAATGCCGCTATACCAGACGATGAGCCTTGGAGCTTATCGCATCAAGTATGCGAGAGTAAGCACCGCCCTGAACAGTCACTTAGGGGAAATTAGTTGATTACGAATATTCTCAGCCTGTTTCGGGTTTCCTCTAGGATTAATTTAAACGATTAACTTCGGCAATCGATGTTGCCTCTGAAGTGTGTTCGTCGAAAAGTGTATACTGATCCACGAGAATACCAGATCAGGCATTGTGACGTTAACCAGAGGAACCGGTGGTCACAAAGATAAAAGATAACTAATCAATCATTACCTTATAAATACCCTGATTTTCAATCGGTGGAAATTCGATGGCCACAGCCGGATTGATTATGGCTAACAGTCGACCCTGCATTGTCGGTTGGGGGAAGGGGGATCGGCTGTAGACCATTAGATACAGCATAACACCGAGAGCCCAGATATCTGACTTTCGACCAATCTGTACATGAGAAGAGGGTGAAGAAAATGGAAATCGGAGTGATCAACCAAAAAAAAACATCACAAAATGTTCAGTCGGAAAGCTTACATCGTCCTTATTGTGGTGTGTCATTGTCCATAAAGCGGCCACTATTGCGCGTGGGCCAGCGGTGCTCTGGCCGCAGTGTCACAAGGGCGTGTGGGGCTAAAAATTGGCTGCTGAGACTCCTACGAACTACCAAGTATGACAAATGATGACACTGCAATGTGGTGAACTCTGGCCCGCAATAAAAGAGTTTCACCTTGGGGATTACATTAATCCTCAGCTAACGCTAAACGCGGTTCAACCCAGTGAACGTCAGGGTAGCTACGGAAATCTACCGTCTTGTAGGTCACGCTTCGATGTATACGGATTAGAAAGGTGCAGTCGAGGGTGCTCATGACACCCGAACACGTAACCACCCATCCACTCTCATACTACACCGTCGCGGGGTGATGGGTGATCATAATACGAGCGTGGTTAAGAAAACTGGGTATCCCAAATCTCGCTTTGTGTTACAGACTCTGAGGCTCAGAGTATCACTATGCGAAACCCATTCCACTGCAAAGCATTTCGTCTCCCAGGCACGCCAAGATTCCCCAGGAAATTGCCTATTGGACTTATCTCTAGTGGGCCGACAGACTGGCCTGGACTGGACTCGACGAGGTAGGTGTCCCTGTCATGCGGAAGCACTAACCTCAACCCAATTAATGACGACCTGAATTTATCCGTCTTCAGATGGTAAGCCCCCATCTACCAGATGTCACCTCTTCAAAGTTAGCATATACAAGTGAGTTATCAACATCGCCACTCAGCGGACTGTTTGCACAGCTGCATTGGTGGTGGTACAATTTCCCGAAAGGAGAAGCACGGGTCCCCTGACTGAACATTGCGGTTATTCAATACAAAGAAGACTTCTGAACAGAATCAAACGATTGTGTACGCTGGGATGTCATTCTAACTGAGCTGCTCAGAATGGTCGTAATCAAGACCGAACGACCATAGCTGACAGCGTGAAAAGCACTAAAATTCCGGTGATCTTAGAAGGCTGTACAATCCAGTTTGTCTCGCTCCGGACAAGCGTCAAGGACTGGAGTCTACGTTACGTGATTTAACTAGCCATGTAATAACTGACCGAGAGTTGAAAGTGGTCATGCACGTCACTAAGGTGCTTAATCAGTCAACGAAAGCTTTTAATGAACTGATTCATTTCAATGGCGTCATTTTTACGGCATCCTTTGCGACTCATCATCACAAGACGAGATTGGTACGGTTGTCAAGAGATTGAGGAGCAAAATAGTCCCTGAAGATGATAGCATTCCCTAGGATTTTCCAACTGGACCCGTCAACTTCGATCGACAAACGGCAGGCGACTACACTATGCACCACAACATTCCTAAACCGTTTTTCAACTGCCAGAGACACACAGGCGATCGAACCAAGGTAGATTCCGTCGTGATAGGAATCCTACAAACGCTGTGTAGAATCGCTGAACATGGGATGCGAACACCAACAGCTCATTTCGGTTCATCTCCCACATTTTCCTGTGATGTTTGAATTCGATGACAGAAAATTACTGTGGGAAATAACGAAACTTGCCCGTCAGGTTTTTAGCATACAGTGGCTTCACCTACATGATGAAAACTCCACTGAAAATTCCCAAAACCTCTTCACCCATTGGTTTAACGGTGCACAGCGCAGATGAGTTATGCGAGTAGTCAATAGTCCGTCCCCGCGTCATATGGAAGGTGAAGGTTACCATGGGAATTAGGGAACCGCCTTGCAGTGTTAGTTTACTATTCTTTCATAGTCAGTGAACGTCCATGGAAAGTTCAAAAGGACGCATGAGAATGGTCACTTTTCAAGACTCTGTGCAGATGGAAGGTTTAATTTCGTGTCTAATGGCTTGTCGCTACTTAGTTCGCGTTCGTTAATAAATAAATTCACAGAAAAGGACTTTCCTCTTTGACCAAGATCAAGGAGTCACCGACTGCGGTAGACAATGACATGGGGTTTTTTCAACGAGAGTACATCCTGCGGTATTTCCAACATCCCACCTTTCCCGCCGTCCCCAGTTATGTACTGCTCCGGTTCTAAAGTTCATGCTGGAAATAGCTTACGAAAAAAAGACCACATTTTAGAAAATCATGATCTGACTTGAAAAATGAGTTGCAGTGGAGCTACCAAACAAACCACATAACGGAAGATAATGACTCAAATCAATGTGTGGACATTGAAGTCAGTCAAACGACCGATAAACAGTTTGAATTGTATACTTTTAGTCATGAATAAAGAAGTGAGTGGAGCCATGCCTTGTTGATGGCAGTTAAAAGAGAGCGAGTACAGTTTGATGTTTGATAATAACAACTATCCCAATAAGAGGGATTAATCCAAAGAGAAGCCGCTCAACACCGAGCGGTTGCTATCAGTTACGACCATTACGGTCCTACCGAAGAAAGATCGAAAGCCGTATATACGGCGAATGACATTGGGAGATATGTGTTAATCACGTTGTTGTCTTTCCCTCGATACACACATCAACAGCGGAGCTGTCTGAATGGATAGAGAGAATCCAAACACAGTACTTATCTGCTGCGATTATAAGAACGGCAAGTCCTGTCATGTTAGATTCTGTAACAGAAGTGTTAGGTGGAAGCCTAAAACCGAGGCATCTAACAAACCCAGCTGGGTGCTGCAACGGTAAAGCTCCCATGTGGTTGGTCAAAATAATGGTTGCTGAAAATGTCCTAAAATCGACAAAAGCTCCAAACGAACAACCGATCCTATTCCAGTACCCGCGTAGAACCACCTGATGCCGTGTTCCGGAGCCATCCGAATCTGCACAGGGTTCCCACCGCTTACATTTTAGGGATCGAGCACTTATATATATACCGGTGGTTTTCAAACAGACTGCATGGTAAATCCGTTTTTCACTGATGGAAAACTGCATTAAAGGTAACCCAAATGCTCTCGAATTTTTGGGTTCCTGGTTGATATGTAACCCGTAAAAAGCACAAGTGTTGTACTAGCGATAACAGGGGCAGCTGGAAAACCAAGGATGAGTTGGAAACATTGACCTTGCTCAGCAGCGCGCACCTTGAAGTCGGGGATGTCTCCCGTTCACGAATGTGCCCCCAGCCGAAGAGCCACCAGACCGATCATAATGGATTGTTACATTAATCCCGCAATTGTATCGTCACGATGGATGGAAAGGCGAATTCTGGAAACACTAGTTACCCTGAAAACAGACCTATAGGGACGGTGGTGATAGCTCCAGCAACCAAAATGATGTGGCGAGGACACTTCGGCATGAGAAGAGCAATTCTAACTTGAGTAGCAGATTTCAACAAACGGTGACCCTCCACGAGGGTAACAAAGTACTTGACGCGAATGACAAATTTACCCGGAACCGTTCTTCTGCAGCCATGTTAGGATTACAGGAGCTTCGACAAGAGGAACTCGGGGTGGGAATGTCCAGTTGTTCCGGACTCATGTAGGTGAGCGTGCCCAGCTGGAGAGCCGGATTGACACGGGTGCAATCATCCGGGAGTCGTTGACTAACACCCAAATCAATCAATTTTAGCTTGCCACGAACCAAGACGAAGTTTTGGGGCTTCAAATCCAAATGGACAATGCCTAGATGGAGGAAGAACAAGGAACGAGTGAATCCGTAAGTTCTGTTCACTCTAGGTTATACGGCGCAATGGATATCAAAGTTGGATGTAAGAAACAGAAACAGGAGGGTATTTTGTTAATCACGCTTCACAGTTTTGAAAATATTGTTTTGCACATGGCTATACTGAAGCAGCTTGATTACCTCTCAGGATAACACATTCTGAAATGTCGTCTACCGAGGTGAATGTTGAACTTCATATCTTTTTCAGAATGGTCGAAATTGCCGAGTGGACAACGTGGGACTTGAAAGGCTGTAAGAAAGGTTACGAAGGGTTTTGGTGTCGTCGGTAAAGTATACCTTTCACGATGGGGTCCTCGTGACCTCTCCTGAGCTTGGCTGGAGACATTGCAAGAAGTGGCCGCTAATCGATATCAGTGGCATTCGTACTGTCAAGTTCTTCCCAGATTTCCTGACTGAGAGCCTCAGGTGTGGCATATCTGCGGTAGGCTAGCAACAGGTATCTCCCTCATCCACTCTTTTCCCTTCCTTCACCTTTTGTTGGGGGTGTCAGTATCCCCAAAAACGGCTTATTTTCCGAGTTATTGCTAAATTATTTTTAAAAATTTTTGAATTTTTAAATTCGCCATGTTGCACATCAACCCAAAAAGACCGCGCTCTTTTCCTATTGGCCATTTATACTTTGTGTGCATTAACTGATTTATCGCACCCCAAGGTCGCTCGAAATATATACATACGAAGTTGCTCTCACTGTAATTCGCCTTTGGTTGAGGCAGTAAAAACCCTCTTCTGAAGGTCTGGTCTTCTTCTCTCTCTGCGCTAGGAGTGGTTGGGCTCACGTCATAGCTGGGGAGTTGTGCGCTCGTCCTCGGGTCGCGTATAGCCGTTGATCGTACCCGATTCCGATACATATCACCTTTAGACCTTAAATGCAATTAGATAGCTGAACAACCCGTAATGAATTAAGGGTTTTCAGTAATCTTATTAGATGCCCCGAATAAACCATGTGGTTGTATGGCAATAAGGCATCGGTGTCACTAATAGTGTTATCTCTGACGTCAACCCATTATACGGTTCATAAATTTACGTCTTCCAGAAGTTAAATTTCTTCACGAGAATAATTTTCACAGGTTTGATGGTTTGTAAATGCAGGAAAACAGTGTCGATTCACCACTGAATTAACACTGAGAGAAAGTTGATTCACCATGGAATGCCTGTAATCAACGAGGCTCATTATGGTTTGTCAATCAGAGCCGTTAGTCACGAGAGCTGCTGACTCCTTCCGAACACTGGTGGACCTGTCGTGAGGTTACTGGGACTGTCAGAAACAACTATTAATCCCGGGGAGACTACTCTACCCGATCACCTAGAGTAGATTCGGAAGGTCCAACGATGGTTTAACTGCACTGGAGGGTTTCGGGACAGGCTTGTGTGCAACATTGCTCCCTTGAAAAAGATACATCCTTACACAACCAGATACCGTCCACGAGGCGGTGACAGCAACTCAATGCCTGCAGATAAACGAAAGCTGCTTCAACCTCACTAATTATCGTGCTGAAATGATCATTTCTAAGTAGCAGGCGCTGAGGGGAAATTTTGGATGGGAAGCTAAGCAAGTAAATAAGAACTGAGTGGCCACAACGCAGCGAGACGGAGTAACAACGCCAATGACTGGCTGGCGGTTTGGACTCGCATCCCGTGTGTTACGATAGTTTCGAAGCAGGGTGGGTGAGAAATCGCGTTGCAGTGATTTTACCATGAAACAGTTTCGAAACAAGAGACGATCGTGTAGAGGGAGTAGTGAAATTAGATGGACGAATGGATCGCCTACTCAAAACGCACAGAAACGCACTTTGTTGGACACTCTCAGTCTGGTCGTCCAACGGCGTTTTGGAGGCTTTTGCGAGTGATAATTCATGCATGCAATCCAAAGCCTATCATGCACTCCCAAAATAACTCCAAAGAGCTCTCTTTGGAATAATGCACATGAATTCGTGTATGTAAGGGGTGGCCGTATCACATGCGCTGTTCTGCTGACTCCTACGCATATGTTGTATTATACAGAAAGGTTCCATAAACACAGCAGAGGTGAAAACTGATGGACAAATTATTGTGAACTTTGCGTTCGTCTGCGTGTTGTTAAACTGATGGCGATTTGACTCTTTTCCGAACAACTGCACGCAAAAAAGCCTATGAAACTTCACCCGGGCGGTGGTTGAGCTACTAACAAACTATGAGTAATGTAGGACGTGCACACCTCCCAATGGAAAAGAAGCCACCGGAAACCTTCAGCACTTGGTCGAAAAACGGGAAGCCCAAATATCTGTAGTGCGAATTGAAGGACACAATTTAGCAATCGAATAGAACCAAAAAGAATTGGTTACACGGTGTGTACGAGCCTCAAAACATTAGCTGGCATCCGAAATATTACGATCCCCTTTTGAGAGTAAACAGAAAACATTTCACAGACAGCACGGTCTATCGAATTTCTGATGAGACGACTACCTTCACAAGAGTCCGAGGTGAAGTGCAATTGGTGTTTTCAAGTAATAACTAGGAACTGCTTCCAGATTTATGTGACGAAATTGTAGGATAAAGATGGACATAATCAGTGTCATTACCTTCAGGATGTCAAGCCTAACACACCTTCTGATGATAAAGTAACTGAGAATCAAAATTGCTGACAACGGTGTTTACCTTCAAAACGGCGTTCTTCTGATGACACAAATAAAGGATGTAGTCGGTAACGTTCAACATTTGCAGCCCGTTAATATCAGAACGACCGGAGAAATAAAATATAAATCATTTAGCTGTAACACCCTCCCGGTGCTGCCATGCTACCCGGAGGAAGCACGAGGACTGGGATACTGCCAGGTTGCCCAAGCCTAGACGGGGAAGTTGAGAGGTAGAGGTCGGGTTCGAACCACGGACCTTATAGTCAGTAAATTCGTGCTCTAACCACTTGAGCCATCTCGACCGGAGAAATTCAGACCATTGCGATCAAATTTTGTCGCACGCTTCAAGATTTGACTTCTTTGGTGAAATGCCAGGTAATATAAGACAAAATCAAGCTGTCTAGAGTTCAGAAGTGTTGAAGCTGTTAAGCATTAACCAGCCATATTATGCTGTGCAGCGAATTCGGTCCGGCCCAACGAAGTATGAGCAACCTTCAACAACGCTAAAAGATGTTTAGGACCACTCGTTACATCTATTTGAACAGTCCCGAGAACGGCGGTCAGGATGTGATAGGACGTAGTTATCGAGGACCAATGGCATACCAGAACAGTGAGTTTTACGTAAACAACATTCAACCAGTAACATCAGAATAGTCTACAGAAAGGTGACGAAATTTACGAAAATGCAAATGAAAAAGTTTTAGAGACGTCTTCACCAGTGTCCTGAAACCTAAGGCAGAGTGTGTCTGTCTGCCGTTTTGAACATCTCCAAATTTCAACACAGCTACAATAGACAAACTTCAAAAGCGACAGATCTAAATTAGGAAACTTACGTTTGTCGTGCAATACCTTGACACAGCGTAGCATCTGATCCCAGTAGAACGCAACAGCCAACGGAGACAGTTTAGCCATAGGGCAGTCATCCGGTAGGCTATCCGTCACCTCGAATAGTTCCATAAAAACGTCCTTCAGATCTACGCTCGCCAGTTCCAGTATAAGATACAGGTTTGTAGGGGTCTGTTCACTACGTAGGGGGGGGGGTGAAGGAAAAGGGGGAAGAACGTCAACCAGAAGGCATAGAAATTTTCGCTATGTCTGTAAACCTTTAGAAACCAGATAGGTAGACAACGTATAGGCAATGGAGTGATTCGCAGTGACATTGATAATGTAAAAGTACAGTTGCTCTACATTAAGGACGGGGGCTACCAGCGGTGAGCAGTCCACAAGACTCTGGAGAGATTCAAACTCAAAGCCATCCGCTAAAGTGATATGCGTTGGCCTACAGTAACATGTACCTGGGACGAGTCCCAGCGATGATGAAACTGTGTTTGAGCGTACGTCGACTGTACTAGCAAAACAGCTCAGATTGGAGACCTCTAAATCTCCTTAATATCTGCAAAATGGTCAAAACAGTCTACAGAGCCAGCTTACTGATCATGCAGCCGAATGACTCTTCCAGTATCCCGTAGTGTTAGAAGCATGTCAACCTCGTTCAGGTAGGAATCGGCCAATTCCTTGGAAGCACCACGTAAATTGACATCCTTCAAAGCCCACAGGTTCTGATCAGAGTCTAGTGCAGAATAGACCTGAAGAGAGAATAACAACGGTGAAGTTATCCTCATTCGCAGATCACAAGGATCAAGGCGTTAAGTTTTGCATTTATCATCTAGTAAGCAAAGGATAGCAATCTTTAAAACCTTAGCATAATAAAATGTGAACAAGAGGATGAAACAAGCTCGGTCACATTGACTTTTGGTTTTGGGAGGATGGAACGTCAAACGACACAATAACTAGTACACCAACGCGTTGACGTAGTGGTCATTAACCGGTGGAGGGATGTCGATTGTTCGGGGCGGAATGGTAGCCTCAGATACGGTAGGACCGACCACAATGATGCTCGTAAGGAGGGTCACCATGACCGCCTTAGAAACTGGAGGGCGTAATGCCATGAGAGCCGTCTGTCAGGACGCGCCCAGACATGGAAAAGGTACATGTGCAGAGAGTGACGCACCCCCAAGGTCACCATCGGCACGACACGTTCGGAAAGCAGGTGCGTTGGCGGGGCGCACCAAACACGGCTTAGCAACATATGACCAGTGGAGTGGGGCTGAAATTGTTCACGACCGGAACATCGCCATTGGCTGTACAGAACGAACAAGTGAACGACCATATTTGGCCATTTAGTTATCCTATTTACGCAGAAGCTCTGTATGTTTTGTCCTGGAAATACAGCCGTGTTCCGAATTCTCCGTTTTCTCCTTACCGCGTAGTCTGGCAAGCTCAGCACAGGCGTAACCAATAGAAGGCCACCCACGTTACAACATCGTCCTTGTCAAGTTTACTTCGCTTTTTTGTTGGTATAAGCTACTGACAACAAATATGGCAGGCAAATGTTCACTTGCACCGAAAAACAATTATCCGTCCTTTGGATTTATCCACGAAGATATAAGGGACACATCGCAAAAACAATCGACCGTGTGTGTGTGTGTGCATACAAAGACTGTCTCACTTGTGTTCGAGCTACAATTGTCTTAGGTTCGCATCCGTTGTGTATACGGGGACTCAAACAAGTGTTCGCACCCATATAAGCACAAGCGCATGTTCCATCACTTTTTCCGTTCCTGTAAGCTACTTTCTCGTACAATCGTTTTTTGATCGCATCATTCTATGTAACACAAAAGTCCAGAACAACTTACTATACCGGATGAAGAAGTATCGGACAATTTGAAAAACTGGCATTAAAGGGCGTATTCAGGCGCTTCCTGAACTAATAAATCACGCAGTTCGATGCAGTAGAAGTCAATGAGATGGCACTGCAAATTTCATTCACCTTGGACATCCGCTTAGGGTCATGCCTTCGTCCTACACCAGTCTGTCTTTGGCTATAATGGAGGGCAGATAAATCGTGAGGTGTCAAGACGGTTGTCTCCAAATTCGACGCAAGCCCACCACATATATTGGATTGCACATTTATGGGTTTGCGTCAAGAGATATGCGGATAAAATGCTCAAAATAAGACTCAGTCGTTATGCCCCTTCGGTGCCTGACTGCCATGCTACCCGAAGAAAGCACGAGGGCTGGGATATTGCCAGACTGCGCAAGCCTGGAGAGGGGAAGTCGAGAGGTAGAGATCCGGTTCGTAACACAGACCTTCCGGTCAGTAAATTTGCGCTCTAACCACTTAAGCCATCTCTACCCAAAATAAGACTATCGGATGGCAAGTAATAAACATCACTCCGCGTTGATGTTCAGATCAATCTGGACGTTTGGGAATCGAAGCAAACATTGAAGCCATCGCTATACGCATTCATAAACATAAACTGGCTGGAATACCATCAACAACCCTAGAGTGAAACCACATATGGATGAGACAGTGTTAGGCAGGAATCCACGCGGATCCCACTATACCGCACGTCTTTAGGCGCTGCTACGGCCGAGAAGCCTGGCCCGCTCGAGGTTGGCCCAGAATTCGGGACGCTTGCCGGTCCGGCATCAAGACGAGATCTGATTGGTCAACAATCTGGACCCAACAGCCAATCATGACCCAGTATTGGCCAAATGCCGGTTGCCAATGGCGCATCCAGAACGTGTCAGAAATTCCAGAAAGTTATAACTGCTTACGCTATATATACGAAGCGCTGTACAACTATTCTCGACTTGGTTTTGGGCATTAATAGACCTTGTGCACCTTTGGTGGTTGTTTTGACGTGTACGCTAGCTTGGGAGGCTCAGACCGAGAACTAAGCTGAGGAAAATACCGTTACTACAGACAGTCATCCTGGTCACACAAATCCCATACTACTTCCAGGAAATTCAGTCACGTATCATTCGGTTTCTGAAAAAAATGATTTGGGATCTGAAAATAGAATTTCGCCCCGTGACCAAAACTAACAGAGTCGGTCGCAAGTGCATCTCACAATCAGTCGTACGCTCCCATCTCGATTTCCGATTCCCCCACAGATTAGGGCGGAGAAATGGAAGCAAACTATCGTTTGTAACGTCTTTTTGAACACTCCCGCATAGTCCAGAACCAGTAATTTCCCCAGTAGCCGATATCTATCTTTGAATGGGGAAGAGTATAGTGTTCTTGATGAAGTTTCTCAGCTTTCTAGACTACAACTGCGGGACCAATGAGGCGACGCAACACGTCATTTATTCCACCAGCTATATTTAGTTCCTATATTGTTCCGAAGTCTCTCTGGAACATGCGATAAATGCGTAAACACTGGTCGACATGCAGAAGCAGAATGCTATTGTATGACTATTGTATGTGCCTTAGAACGAGGGGTTAAAATGGAAGGTCCTCTGTACACTACACTTCTGGCCGCGTGTATTCAAACGAATCTTAAAGATTGCAGCTCCTTTTCGTTCTGGATGGCTAGCTGAAAGTACACAGGGTGGCAGCAATTCATGTCGCAATCGACGTCGAGGTCCCCTTCACAGTCTCGAACACAGAATTGTCTAGCAGGTTAGTGATGAGCATCAGCGTCTTCCCCACAGCGTCACCCTATGAGAGCTGGGTATTAGTTGCTACGTCTGCCAGTCATTGCGGTTTCCTCAACACAGAAACGAAAAAATAAAATACAAACGTAAGCAGTATGTAGTACGGGCATGCTCCGCTACCGAGAAGCTCAATCACACGAGTATTTTTGTCCTCAGAGGACGAACAGACGACCGGTCGTCTAACGCCCTTCCGCTGCGTCGCCA